GGGGGGGGGGGGGGGGGGGGGGGGTTGGTCGTAAAAGATTGAGCGTCGGGATATTCGTAAGGTCAGCACCAGAAGCGCAATCCACTTCGATGGTTCCCTACAAACGAACGATGCATTCCTACGTGTGCGCCTGTGCAATCCAGTCCGCTTCATTGTTTCCAAGCACCGATGTACCGTATACGTAATGTGACGATTCTTACCCACTCATGTCCGTGACGTCCATGACAGTCCACGTCATTTTGGGACGTGCTCCGGAGTGAGAGCGGTGCATTTCAGCGATCACCGGATCGCTGAAGTCCACGTTTTCGATCTGAGTTTACAAGCGTTACACCGAAAGGGGGGCAGGGAAATGAGGCAAACAACGGCTCCCAGTGAAAGGAGTTCATGATCGATCGGTTGGATCCCATATGGGCAACCGTAACCTGAACCTTCTTGATCTGAAACGATATGTCACGACCAACGCTCGACGGAACAGTACGGAACACCATCGCACGCTCAGCTTGTGCACAGTCGGAGTTGGGCTTGGGCTAACGTGGCCCAAAGCATGCGGTTGACGGTTGTCAGTCTCACCTCCTCGAAACCGTCGTCGTACAACTCGGCGCTGAAGTTGGAATTTCCGCATCCGATGACCAGGATCCGCTCCGTGCGCCGCAGCGTCCGGTGCACGAGCTTCCGAAGGTCCTCATACTCACCATACCTGCAACCAAAAGCACCCGTAGCGAAACGACTGGTGTTAGCTAAGAGTTGGTCTGGCTGCACCAGGACAAAGAGCTGTGGAACCAAACATGAACTGATGTGAAGTCACTCTTGTATGCCGCAAAAGTACACACCATCTACTGCTGCACAGCAAGAAGCACCGACGATATGATAGATTCCTGCAGGGTACAGGCTACACGTGCCGTCTCCGCGTTATTTCAGTGCATAGATACACACACGCCGAGAGAGGGTCCTGCAGCGGTCTTTCTTCCACTGCTTGCGGACAGGCGTGCAATCATGCCAGAAGAGCGGATGGACATGGCGTGAGCCCTGCAGCCTTCCGCACAGCTGCTCTCCTTTTCCGGTGTGGTAGGCAGTGTGGCAATGTTAGGCAGAGCTGCTCTCGGTCCGAGACTGCCGCGGCTCTCGACTCACCATTCGAAGGCGTCAGTCCTCTGCTGGAAGAACGAGTTCCAGTACTCCTTGGATCGGAACTCATCGTGGTGGCGAGGAAGAAGCTTTGTAGCGGCCGCACCACCAGCAGCAGCACTCATGCTGCTGATTGCCGGCAAAACAGGTTTGCTGGTGGACACAGGTGGAAGGGACTGCTGCTCGTATGGAGGCGCAAGCTCTACAGCCTGACTTCGCAACTGCTGTAGACCCAAGACAACCAAGACAACCAAGGTGGCACAAAGTTTGGTAGCAGTATAGGGGAGGCGTTCCCTCTTTCCACGCACCACGCCCACCGACAGCTGTGCAGCAGCAGTAGCAGCGGAAGGCAGCAGAGGGTAGAGAAGACGAAGACGGGACTGTCAGGACTTGCGTCCGGACGAAAAAAAAAAAGCTCTGCACTCGGCGGGCGCTGTCGCTGTCATAACTCGTAACGCACTCAGGTCTCTCGCTCTCTTCGATGGGATGGGCGTACGTGTGATCGAGCCTCGGGTCGGTGTCACCCTGACCGTGATGTCGCTTGCGCTGTTGTGCATGCTGCGTCGAGGTGTTGCCTTCCGCAGCGGATCGATCGCTGCCCTCTCTCGGACCTTGTGCAAACAGCGAGGTCAAACGGCAAGGGGTGACTGTGCTGCTGCAGGCCGACATGCCGGGCCTGAGGGAACCGACCTTCCGGGTGTTATGCATAGGACGGTCAGCGCTGAAGAGCTGAAGGTACTTGTTGTTATGGACGAACATTCGCTGTGTATGGCACCAAAAACCCCTGTGTCGAGAAGCAGCTCTTCCAACTCTCTTACATAATTTAGTCTGCTTTTGTACTCGTGGTCCTGCTGCTGTAGCTGCTGTGTCTGCTGTGTCTGCCAATGTGTACCTTCCTTACAGACCGACACAACACATGTGCAGTCTGGATGCGGATTTGTGATCGACATCACCACTACAGCTGGGTATCGGTGCTCGGAGCGAAGCATGACCATGAGGAATGGCTGTGAGAGGACACATCGAGAGAGAGAACGTGCGGACGAACTCCATTCCCGGTTGTATCGTTGTGTCCAATATCTTGTGGGTATCCTGCATCAGCAGTTTCCCCCTCGTGCTGCTGTTTCGGTTCGGCAGGTCGTCGACTGCTGCTTCGAGCCATCCGCCAGTTCAAACGTTCAAACCAATCCAAGAACTACGCGATACATGCATGTCTATCAAAGGTGAATCGCGGACCTGTTCGCTCTACCGTACCCGTGCACCCCCCCATGCTTTGTGCCAATACAGCGGTCTGAGCTGCTTTCCCGCGTCTTTCGTGAATCCGGTTGATGGCCATTTGATTCTAGGCGGAAGTCATTGTAGTAGGAGACATCCATGGGTGCTACGGCGAGATGGTGTCGCTGCTGGAACGGTGCGGTTACCGGTTGGGCAACAAGGAGGACAGAGAGCGCTTCTCCGTTGTTCTGGCTGGGGATCTGGTCAACAAAGGGCCCGGGAGCGTGGACGTTGTGAGGACGGCGAGAGAAGAGGGATTCTTGGCGGTTCGCGGCAACCACGACAACTTTGCCCTTGCAGCAGCCACTGGAGTCGGCAGGTTCTCCCCGAAAGAGGGAGAAGGCGGCGGTGCAAAACCTCCTCCATGGGTAGAGCAGCTGTCCAGGTATGCGCTGGTTTACCTGGGCTGCGCTGTTGTGATGGGCACAGAGAGGGAGGGGGTTGAAGGCTGGTATCGGGTGAGCAGGGAGAACCTTTGTCACGGGGGAAATGTCCGAACGGGCGCTGTCGTGTCCCGCATTTCCTCCCCCAGCTGCGCCGCACTTTTAGCTTTGGTAAAATAGGACGTTTAATAGCTGTTGCAGTTCAATGAATTGGTCCAGATTCTCGTCCCTCGTTTCATCCTGTTTTTCCACTTCTACCCCCTCGCCCCTTCGCCACAACACCCGTGGTACTCCACAAAACCTGTTTTTACCCAGCGATGATCTCCAGTGGATTAGCGCCCTACCCTACACGCTGAGCTTCCCTTCCTTGGGTTGCATCATTGTACACGCTGGTCTCGTGCCCGGGGTGCCTCTGAACGGCCAAGACGCAGAGGCAATGTCTTGCATGCGAAACGTTGTGGAGATGGAGGGTGGCGGGGGCTACGAGCCCCGTACTCTCCCAGACCAAGGTACGACGGGCGCTTTGGATTTTTCCCTGGCTGCGTGTTTAGAAACTGCAGAGATGAACCCTTCGCCCCCCCTCTCACGCCAACAAGTATAGCGCGATGCAATCCACCGGCTGGTGTTAGTTTTAGTTGAGTGGTCCCTGAGCAGTCTCGAAGGAGCTGCCAACGGCGGGATGTCATTCAGCATGTGATGGAGGTAGTCGAAGCCTGGGTGCCTGTGCAGTTCTATCCACACTCCAAGTTAAGTTTCGCAGGACATCTGCCCTCATATTTTAGGGCTGTATTCGTCAACGTGTTTTCATGTCGGCATCATTCCCGCGTTAGCCGGAAACCACGGAACAATACAGCATTTTTTGGGCGGTATTTGGCCACCACGGCACAGCAGTACAGTAATTTTTGGGCGGTAACTGGCCACCTCGGTAATTTCCGTGGTAACTGGTCACCTCGGTAATTTTCGTGTGCTGTAATCAGTCATCACGGCATTGCACAGAAATGTGCAGTGGTCACCACGGTACCGTATAAGTCGTACAAATAACGACATCATGGCACGTCGGGCCCTGTTTCGTTTGCTTGCTTTGAAGTACCCCTTAAGCGGGCGGTCACCGTACAACAAACGTGCGCGACACTTTCACCGAGCATCACGTCCGTCAACCAAACCGGCCGCATCAAAAGAAGGGTGAAAACCAGACAGCATATGTCCACTTCATTGCAGGCAGGCTCGCGTGGCCTCACGAGGACGACAGACGTCCATCGCTGCGCCAAGTAATTGTGCCATCAGCAGAAAGGTCAGGCAGCAAGCAAGTGCCGCCTTCCTCATACACAGAAACGATGGAACTCAATGGTTCAATATAGAACAAAAGAAAACAACCCCTACGCAACAGGCCCCGACATAAAACACCAAACCATGAACACCTTATAATCAAATCTGTCAATCAAGCAACAAAGGAGCAAATAACAACAAGAGAACACTACCAAAGAAAACATTTGGAGTTCCATTAGCACACATGCAACGCGATTGCCGCATCAACCGAGGTACTCGACATCAACCAATTAACAGCAATGTACTTGGTGTTTCTGTGCGGTAGACGGGGTCTTCTTGTTCGCACGGTATATATATATATATATTTTTTTTTTTCTCCCATCATTGGATCGCGAGAAGGGTACAGCAATCCCTTCCCTCGCGACTTATGAAGTCGATCAAGTTTACTAACAACGAGCTTTGCAGCGCGTCGCTTCCAACGGAGACCAGGATTTAGTTAACGAGAAGAAACTCATACTGTCGGTAATGTGCTCCGCGGTAACTCGAAAGCACGGGAATTGCGTTTTTTGCGCCGTAATTTTTTGTACGGTAATGGGAAAACTCTATTTGTTTGTGAACAGTTTGGGCGTAAATGGTAGTTCTCATTTCTTACGGGATCACGGGAAACGGAAGCTACCGTGGTTTTACCGCAGTAAATTACCGCGGAGAAATTAACTTAAGATAGCCCTTTGATTTTTTTACCCGTGGACGACTCCGCGCCCGCCTTCCCTCCGTACCTCTTGCGTTCGCTGTTTCGAAGGTCTGGCCTGGGCCAAGGCCTGGAAGGGGCCGGAGCACGTGTACTTTGGACACGACGCGAAGCGAGGGTTTCAGAAAGAGGCATTTGCCACCGGTCTAGACACCGGTTGTGTGTACGGGCGGTCGCTGACGGCTGTCGTGTTGCCCGGGCGAAGGGTCGTGTGTGTCCCGGCGGAGGCTATGTGGTCCGCCCCTGGTGGAGGAAATGGCAAAAAGGCTGGGAGTGACTGACATGAACACGGTAGATTCATTTTGGACCCATCTGTTGTGTCGTTTATGCTTTCTATTTTACGAAGAACTTTGGCTGGTGCTTGCGGTTGCTTGTGTCTCTAGCTGACACTCTGTTGTTTTTCTGCTGTAGATGGGCGCGTTGCTTTAGCGCCAGCGGTAGAAAGTGATATTCTTGAACCTAATGAGTTGCTTGTGGGGTTTGATAAACTTTTTCGTTTCGAGGTGTGGAAAGCATAATCAATGGTACCGCTTTGTTGTCTCCAATCGAGGGTGAACACGTATGGCATTGTTTCTGTCGTCGCAACTGGCAGCCATCTCCACAGACCTGTGTGCTTGGCAGGCTACCGCGCGCAACAGCCTTCTTACGGGAAAGGGCGCTAATGTGTACTCAAAGTACATGTTTCTGCACAGCCTTGTGTTGGACTAGCTTGAGTTGTCTTGCAACCGCGGGAGCTCGTTTGTGTGCCTTCGATCGGCAGGGAAGAGGAGGTACTGGATAGATAACAATGAGGAACGAATCCAATTGGAATACAGCATAGCAGTACATGGACAACGTCGTTTCCACGTTGTCGTGCTGTCCACCCCCAATGTTTGGATGCGCGCAACAAGTACAGGTTTGGATAGCATCAGACGACATCACCAGCGTGCCGCAGAGGTCTCTCTGGACTGGCGCACCTTCCGAGGAGGATAGGACCGTTTATCTTTCAACAACTTGAACCATGACTTACGGCTACTATGTGGGCAAAGTTCGTCCGAACGGAGCGGTTTCCCTCGGCATGTGAGGATACGTCGGCTGGCGTGGGACCTGCAACATACCGGTATCTCTCTTGATTGATCGCCGGCTGGCGGGGTGGAGATCTTCATCTGGCACTTTCTGGATGATGTAAACTCAAACACAGATCATTCGACGTGTGAGATGGTACCTGTGGGGCAGATGTGTTTGAACTTCACTAACGGGGTCCTTTCCTCGTATGGAGCTTCAAGTCTAGCTGCAATTTGCTTTTTGGGGAGCATTTTCTTTCCTTGGTTTTTTCGTAGCCGCAAAGCAGACGTATGCATGTATGTATCGCTCCATCCAGCAAATGTAGATATAGACTAGTGTGTGGGACGAGGGTTACTTGTTCGCTTTCCGTGGGCACGACGATCAATACGGAGACTGCCAGGGGCGATATATTTCACTTCGGCTCGTTATTGACGCTTGGGAAAAGTCGTGCAATTTTCCACGGAACGGTGAAAGAAAACCCGACTTTTACGCTATTGGTGATGTCATCGCAAAAAGTACGTTTCCTTCCCTGAATACACGCTTTGCTCGGCACACAACAGGTTGACTTGGTTTTGCTCACCATAAAGCAGCGGTAAAAGTGCAATGAGCAGCACCCAACATAAAGGACAACACACTTAGAAAGATCCTATCCACCCGGCCTGCTGTTTTCAGTTTTCAGCAACAACAGGCGCAGGGCAGAGTGTCGCAACCTGGGCGTTGCTTGCGATTTCTTTCTCAGTTTGCCAGCTCATTTTTCACGGTTGCGACTCCCATCTTTGACCACCACCTGCCCAAAGGTAGACGAGCTCAACAATCATAGAGCGGCAGCCGCGCTGACGGCCAGCATCATATAGATGGCCAATCCGAAAGAATTAGCATGTCGGACGCCCTGTTGCTCTTGTTGTGCTGCGTGGTGCCGTGGATTGACGTTGACGTGTCCGACCAAAAAAAATTAGATCATCTCGCCGCTTTTTTTCCAGCGGCATTATTTATTTGGTGAGGTGGCACACGTCTCTCACACACCTTATTGAGCAGCACTCAAGCACCCAATACCCACGAAGCAGCACGGCGTCGGGAGATGGTATCACAAAAACAGCCAAACCGAAGGAATCAGCGCGTTGGGGGTCTTGGTGCTGCTGCTGTGTACTCGTTCTACTGTTTCCTTCCGTGTTTGCTCTGTGTGATTGAAAAAAACATTCTCCAGCACCAACAACAGCAGCAGCAGTTGAAGACGAGAGCACCACGCAATATCTAGTTTTGGAGCAAGAACGGACTGAATGAACGCCGCTTCTGCCGCTTAATTGTCCATCTCCACAACAGGCGACCTGGACGTGAGTGAGTCTGGCAGGTCTTTCTAGCGTTCTCAGTGATGTTACAGCGTTGGCGGTACGCTTGTCCGATGATTCTGTCAAAAAACACGGATTTTATTATTAGCATCGACCGTGTGTGTGTGTCCTTTTATTATTAGCATCGACCGCGCTAACCGGCTGACCAATGAAAAGGCGTCAGTCTTCGTGCGGTTGAAAACACAAAGCACTTTTATCTACCATGAACTGGGACCACGTGAGGGGGCAGCATGGGGGAGGCAAAGCTATCCTTCGGATCAAAAACAGAAACAGCAGCAACAAAAGAAAACTGCACCCGTCTACCAAGGCTATTACCTAGTACTCGAGTTCGTTTAGGAGTACTTTCACCAGTATCCTCCTTGTTTTCGCTCCCATCATTCTGATCCTCATTTTGACAAGAAGAATCTCTGGGCAGTTCTTCCCTAGCCCTACGTTTCTTGTTGTGGGGAAGGTCATCTGGCTCAAACCCTTTGCTCTCTTCCACTCCTCCATGTTTTTCTGCTCCATCGTCGTCATCCTCCTTTCTCCCCTTTCCCTTTCCTTCGTCTTCGTCACTCCCAAAAGAATTAC